TTTTTTTTTTTTTTTTTTTTCAGGACTTACTTTTCTTTCAGAACCTTATTCTCTACTTCTCCCATCATTCTCTTCAAGAATGTTACAAAAGAATCTGTGGGTGGCTAGCAAGACCCCCTAGGATACCAGGAGCCATTCTAGAAAAGTAATTGTTCACATACCAAGGGCTGCCAACAAGAACAGCTTCCCAGTAGCATGTTTTAGTAACCCTAATGAAGCAGAGCGCAACACCCCTTGCAATAAAAATTCTGGCTGGAAGAAAAGATCTACAGATTGTGAAAAAGTACAACTTAAAAAGCAAACACCACAGGCTCCAGAACAGAAAAGCAGAGATTTCTAAATACAGAGCTCAATTGTAAGAGTTAACTGTACCTTATTTCTCACTATCATCCTGCTGTCAAAAATAGAACCTTCCAGGTCTTGATCCATTCAGAGTAAGCCACAGCAGGCACAGCTCTGCTTACAGAGCAGCCAGGTCAGAAAGGCCACGCAGAGAAATGGAAAGGCAACCAGCAGGTTTTCTTAGGGATTACACTGCTCCGGCTTTTATCCTTCTTCCCATCTATTCTAGTGCCAAGAAAGCTGCAGGGAAGTCTTTGCCCTGCTCTGAAAATTCTTCAATCTTTTCACCAGCAGAGCTGAAGCACTTTCAGGGCAGCAACTCCCTCTACTGCCTAATATTTTCTTTGCATCTGTAGTTCAGTTTAATGAATTTCAAACTCAAAACTAGTACAAGAGCTAAAGCTGCCTTTATAACATAACTCAATGGCATAAATTCAGAGAGAACCATAGCCAGTAGTAGAGGACTTGCCTAACAAGATGTAAAGTCCTGGATCCATCCTAATACCATAAAAAACAATTAAAATTTAATTTAAAAAATAAGATAGGAGAATATATGCAGTGTATTATTTGTTGAAACTGTACTTTCGATTTGATTTGAAACTGTCTCATTGCTATATGTTTATCAATAAAACTTTGAAAAGAAAAAAAAAAAAGATAGGGAGATGGCAAGACAGCTCAGCAGACTAAGTACCTGCTTAGACAAGCAGAGGGGCCAGGTCTGACCCCGGCACCACATGCCGCACTGGCCCCACCTTTGGGTGTGCTGAGCTGGCTACTGAGTCCAAGCATGGTAGCGCATGCCTGAAATCCCAGCGCTGTGGTGGCTGAAAATGGGAGGATCACTGCAAGTCTGAGCTGCGTAGTGACACCCTGTACCAAATACACAAAAAATAGTAAGATAGGCCTATTTAATCTTTTAAGATCAAATTTAAATAGCATTTAAGTCATGGCATTAAATTTATACCATCACCAATCTGTTTCACTGTATTTTACATAATTTTGGGCCTACATAACAGCAGATGCTCAAAAATCATTTAACAGAATTCTCCCACCCTGTACTGGGGATGTATGTTTAAGAATCACGTAATGCGCAATTACCACAATCTCCTGTGATTGAACAGCATGGACAAGGAACATGTTTTTCCAGCTATTCAGGAGGCTGAGAAAGAGGATCCCAAGTTGAAATCCAGCCTTGTCAAATTAGTGAGACATTCCCTCAAATAAAAAAGTGAACATTTCTTTTTTTGCAGAACCGGGGATTGAACTCAGGCCCTTGCGCTTGCCAGGCAAGTGCTTATTCTATGAGCCATCTCCCTGGCCCCAAACATTTCTTAAAAGGATGAGGGTATACATATAAACTCCAGCAAAACACACACACACACACACACACACACACACACAGCATTTGGGCCGAGTATATAATTCAGTGGTAGAAGCACTTGCCTAGCGTGAGGTCCGGGGTTTGATCCTCAGCATTGAGAAAAAAATAAAATAAAAACAGATGTTTCTCCAATATTCTAGTAGTCTGATTTTCTAGGTCTGCTTGTGGCCTTTTCCAATCTCACAAATTTTCCTGCCTATTAACTCTTAACATAGCTTATTTTCAATATACCTTAAATGTACTGTCTATACTCATTACACTGAGTTTAGCAACAAAATAATCAAAGATCTCTCAGTATCTCAGTAAAAGTGCCAAGCAAATAATGGAGCTATTAAAATGTTCTCAACTTATTTTAGTTAGAAACTTAGTGTTCCAGCATTCAGAATTAGAATTTTTTTTCTTACTGTGCTGGGACTGAACCTACAGTTACATCCATGTTAGACCAATGCCCTACCTCTAAGCTATAACCTGTTTCAAGTATGAGAATTAATGAAGACATATTAATGTAACAGTTCTATTTTTGTAAAGCCTCTCCCTCTTTCTGTCACCCAATACTGGAAGCTTACCTGTAGGTCCCTGCTCTAAGAAAAACAAAAGCCCAGAACAATTGCTAACTTTAGAAACTTTAAGATATCAATACCAATGGTGCCATTAAGGAACTGGTCTTTACCACTGGACAGAAAGAAACGACGTCATTTTTTAATAAAAGCAACTCTACATTTATTGGCCTTCAGTAAAAACATAAGAGTAGTCAAAACAATATGAACAAAAGTTTTACAAACACTCCTAGGGCAAACCACTTAAACAATTGCCTTTTTACATATCATAATTGCCACTGCCTCACTTCCCTGTATGAATTCATTGATCATTTCTAGTTGGAGACACTTTGTAGCAGAGTAATGTTATCTCCTTTCAGCATGATCCGACCTGCAACAACAAAAAAAAAGCTATCAACACTCACATTCAGCTGTATACACAACTCAATTTTGCTCCGAATCCACCAATACTTTTTTTCCACCAATATCTTGCAAGTGGCACATACTGAAAGGCTTTCTAGCTCTATTAGCACTGCATGTACCTTTTCAACAATAACCTAAATGCAGGTAGATGATAATTTATGAAAAGTATTTTCTACAGATTAAGTCAACTAATTATGCCTACCACATTTCCAAATGCCGACTTGAAAATTTGGAAATAAGTTGTATGTTAGGTATGGAAATTGCAGCATGCTATAAACCCTTTCTTAGCATGGTCAATGTATTAAAGACTGTATCTTACAATAAACAAGCCCGTTTGATTTTATCCAAATTTTCTAAACTTAGGAAAATTTCTGACAAATCTCTGTATCTTCAAAACATTGGTGTTGACTGATGAGTTGCTAATCAACTGCAAAAATATTAAACTTTTCATTTCCCAAACCTTTACATATATTACCAGTGGTTACACAAGATGCATACTACTCTGAGAATCAACAGCTGGCAAATGCTTTATTTAGTGTGTGTGTGTGTGTGTGTGTGTGTGTGTGTGTGTGTGTGTGTGGCCAGCTCAGCCCACCAGGAGGTGGGGCTGGCTGGCATGTGGTGCTGGGGGATTGAACTGCGGTCCCTGGGTTTTGCTAAGCTTGTTCTAAGTAGGTGCTTTAGACCACTGAGCCATCTCACCAGCCCCTGGCAAATGCTTTAGCTTAAATAGAAATACATCTTTCACTTCTCAGAATCAATTTTCTATATATCCAGCATGGGTTCAAGAGACTCCTCAGGGTCTGTGGGAAAAAAAATCACTTAAAACCAATGTTTTATAAAAATACTAATGAGCTACATAATGAGTATTTAACAAATAAAGACAAACCGTCTAAATAAAAATCAAGTTAATGGGATCTCAGTTAAAAATGATTCAATGTCTCTTGATGAAATTATGAATCCTAAAGTCTTAACTAGGTTCAGCAAAGGGTAATGATGCATGTAATCCCTGCTCCTCAGGGAAGCTGAGGCATAAGTATTACAAGTATGAGCAAGTATTAAAAGCAATTCAGCGGGGCTGGAGAGATGGCTCAGTGGTCTAAAGCACCTACTTAGAACAAGCTTAGCAAAGCATCAGGGACCGCGGTTCAATCCCCCAGCACCAC